AAGCTTATTTGACTTATTTTTTTATCTATATGTCAAAAAGTGGTTCCCATGTGGGCTCCTACATTATGTCACAATCCATGTTTAATTTAACTTTTTTTTTTGACTTACGGGTTTAAAAAGGGGTCTTAATGTGGGCCATTACATTACGTCAAAATTTGACCTGTGTTTTACCTGCAGTTCTAAAAACGGTTGAGTCAGAGCTTGCCCCCCAAATAGGGGCGTCAAATGGGATGTCAAAGTCTATGTCAAACGACAAATTTTTTACTTGCAGGCCGTTATATATTACTACAAAATTGATGACAAAGATGGTAAAATGCGATCTTATGATTTTGACCAATCTGAAATTTTAAATTATCATATAAAATAAAAATTATTAGAAATCTTTTTAAATTTTGTTTTTATCTAAATTCTTTAGAAGTCAAGTATACTTACATGTTTGAAAGTTAATTAAAAAATTATTTTAAAATTCAAAAAATGGGTTAGTTTATTCGATCAAGTACATTTATTTATTTCTAAATTTATTATTAATAATAATATTAATAAAAAATTATTAATAATAATTTTATTATTAATAAATTTTTTATTTTTTTAAAACTTTTAAAACTATTTTTTTAACTTTATTATTAATAAATATTTTTTAGTTTAAGTGAGATGCTAAATTGGTTTGTAATAAACTTTAACCAATGTCAAGGTAGGCTCATCGTCAGAAACAAGTTACATTTGACCTAAATATGGAGGGTATAGTGGTTGATTTGACGAATCGTCTTGCATTGGTTGAGGAAAGTATTGACAAGATTGAGGCGGAATGTTTAATGTTGGACAATCCAACAGTCAAGATTAATGCCTGTATTAATAAAATAGTGGATCGGTCAGAAAGAAAGTGTAACTTAGTTTTATTTAATCTTCCTGAAAATAAAACACCTAACACAGACTCTAACACCTTGAAAGCAGTTGTCAGCAACAAATTTAAAAAGTTTACTAAATCAGCTGATCTTGATGGAATTCGAACATTCAGAATTGGTGCTAGTACGCAGGTATCTCAAAAGCCACGCCTGGTGAAAATCGTATGTGCGACGGAGGAGAGGGCACAGGCGATTTTGCGATCGTTCGTGGCTGCTAAAAGAGACTTTGTAAATTCATCGAACTTGGAGAATCTATGGTTGTCGAATGACAAAACGAAGATGCAGAGGGACGAGATTAGGAGAGTGAAGGAGCAGTTAGCCGTGCATCGACGAGAGGGAGAAGCAAACATTTCTTTGGTTTTTCGTCGTGGAGTCCCCACAATTATTAAAATCCCTCCCCGTAAACGTACTTCTACTTTCACACTTCAGATAGGCGGGTAAACTGTTGGCCAATCCAACTGCAGTACCTGGTTTTGGATTAATTCTTCTGTCATCATTCTCATCAGTGTTTAAATGTATTCAGCAAACTATTTGTGTATGGTTTTTATGAGTTAAACTCCTTTAGAGTATTGTAATTTATTTCTCAAAATGACATTTTGTTAAGCAAAAAATGTGTATAATTCCCTTCCTCATTTTGTATGTTTCTCTTTAAATTTCTATATATTCTTACAGTTTCTAGACCGTTCTAAACATCTTATTTCATTCAGAATTTTTAATTTTATTTTTTATATAACTTTTACTAAATGCTTAAAATTAATTCGGATAGAGATACAAATTTGTCATTTATTAATATTATTTTTATATTCTTCTATTAAACTGTAAGATTCACTGCAATAACTAACTTTCAAGGGCAGTTTTGACCTAAGCGTTAAAAATTGACAAACAAATTCCCTCTGCCCTTAAAATTTAGGTTAAATTTAACTAATTTAATTAGTTTTAACCTACAGGTCAAAAATTGACAAACAATTTCCTCTGCCCTCAAAATTTAAGACAATTTTAAGGGCAGGTTTAATCCAGAGGTCAAAAATTGACAAACTCTCTGCTCTCAAAATATAGGTCAATTTTAAGGGCAGTTTTAAAACTGATGAACGGAAAAAATAAACGATAAACGGAAAAAATTGATGAACAATTCCCAATGCCCTCAAAATTTATATCAAATTTAACATATTTTTTATCCTTAACGTCAAAAATGCAAATTAATTAGGATCCTACAAGAGGTCGTTCAATCAATAAAAAATGTTATATAAACTGACATCTATTTTTAAAAATTCTATTAAAATTAATTTTTTGTTCACAAAATGTAGGTTAATTTTAATAGCAGTTTTTTCCTACAAGTAAAAATTTGACGATAAATATCCCTCTGATCTGATATTCTCTCAAAATGTAGGTCAATTTTAAGGGCAGTTTTGACCTACACGTTAAAAATTGACAAGAAAATTCCCTCTGACCTACTGTTCCCTCAAAATTTAGGTCAATTTTAAGGCCAGTTTTGACCTACGGTTAAAAATTAGGCCCACAAGAAGCGTCTTTTACATTACGTCGAAAGCTTTAGGTAATTTGACATTTTCTTTTACCTACATGTCATAAACGGCCTAATAATGGCCCTTACATTATGTCAAAATTTATGTCAGATTTGACCTATTTTTAAGGTATTACTACACTTTAGAAGGCTCTTAAAAGACCAGATTTAAAATTTTTTTTTCTTAGGTCTTTTATTATAAATATTTAAAAAACTTTTTTGCCTATATTAGTACAAATTTGGAGAATAAAAATAATGTTTTTTTAATTTTTATTTAATATGATAATCTGCAGACAGCATTCAGATCGAAACTCCAAAAAGTTAGTTGTCCAATTGCGAACAGTTTATCTCAAGATTGACAAATCGGAAACAAAAAATCCAAGTTGCTTTTTAAAAAGGAAGGACGCATAGAAATCCACCACCATTAATGAAAAATGGACTAAAATAAATAAATAGCAGATGTTTCAATAATTTTTGTCAAAATACACTATGTTTTTCAGTATTTTTCTAGTCTGCAAAAATGTCTTTTTTAAATTTTTTGACCATTTTCTGGTGAATTATCACACAGGACATGCTAACAAACAAAACGAGTTAATATTTATTAAAATCGGTTTAGTAGGTTCAGAGATAAACTATCCGCAATTTGAGAAAACGTTATTTTGAGAAAAACGCGTTTAAACCTTATATGTATCGTTAGAGGCCATCCATAAATTACCTAAAATTCTTTTGCAAATTGAAACTCCTCCATTTTTTTTATGTCAGACACTGTTACACACATTAGCACCAATATTTCTACTGGTCGTAACAAAAAGCTGGACCCCACCATCCCTTTAAAGACTTACTTAATTTGTCAATGACTTTTTACATTAATTGAATATTTTTTGAAAAATTTACTTTTATTTTTTACAATTGGTTATAAATACTTTAGGAGGTGTTTTTTGAAGTCATAAGGAGTTAAAAAATACAATAAAAAAATAACATTTTTTTAAAATTCTAAAGTGTAGTAGTACCTTAAAGCTGCAGGTAAGAAGGGTTCCAATAATGCCTTTGGCCACTGAAGTGATAGAGAGTTTGTAGATAATTTGTTTCGTTTACTGTCAACAATTCAAATTCATTTATGGCATCCTAGAAGAGTAGTCTATGTTTGATTTCACGATTCATTATGGTCTAAATTTCATAAGGCAGGAGTTAGTACCAAGTTTATAAATATGATTAAAGACTTTTATAAGGAGGCAGTAGCTAGTATTAAGACAATGGAAGAAGCAACAAATTGTGTTTGTTATTTATTTTCGATTTTGATTTGATCTAGAGAAATTTTTAAGGGTAAAGGATTGAAGAGGTCTCTCTATAACTAGTGTCGTTAAAATCTTGGTCCTTGCTTATGTACTGACTGTCTGAAACTCCGATAAAATTGGGAGGACAAATCAAGGCCTTACGGAAATATTATAAAAAATATTGTGTGGATGTTAATGTCGCAAAAACAAAAATTGTTATATTTAGAAATGGAGGAAACTTAAGTGTAAAACATTTTTTTTATATGTTCTACAAATTTTTCGAAGGGATTGAAAAAATTTCTAGGATGAGCGATTCTCGGTTTCCAAGACAGTGCCTGATAATATTGTTAACTCTGGCTCGCTCCGGATCTTCGGATAAGGGGCGTAAGTGGTTTAGTCAACTGGTTTGTTTCTTGAAAATGAGCTACAGCATAAATAGTATCATGTATCACTATATCAAGTGAAAAATTTGATAATGTTACTCCTGTTATTCCCCCCAAAGCAAACAAGATATTAAACCCAATAACTCACATCATTATTACCCTAAAATATACTTTAACTCCTATTATAGCTGCTAATCAACTATATACCTTAATTCCCGTTGGAACAGCAATAATTATAGTTACTAAAGTATAATAAGCGCGTGTATCAACATCTATACCTACAGTAAATAACCTTCTCTAACGGTTACAGCTTTATAGGATACGCTATAAAATTTTGCTAAAATTTTCTTAAAAATGCTAGAAAAACTTAATGACTAAATGCAGAGAATTTTTAACTTCGGTTTGTGTAATCGTTCTTGTTGGAACTTACAGGAAATAGTGGGACACAGGTAATTCATTTACCTGGTTTTCCTTTCCACACAATTTTCCTTTAAGATTCATTTCTAACATTGATGTTTATAATTATCGTTGTAATTCCAACAGTTCTGTTTATTTTATATTTCTATTATGTAAATTTTATTTTAGTATGGGTAATTTGTAACCCAATAATGTTATATTTCTATTATGTAGATTTTATTTTAGTATGGTTAATTTGTAACCCAATAAAGATTTATTTATCTATCTAAATAGATTGTACCAAAGGGTCTTACTCCTGATGATCTTTGACATAAAATAATGATTTTGCACAATATCCTGTGTTTAAAATAGGTTTAGATTTTGATTGCTCGTATATTAATGAATTAGTAATTAATTTATTGAAGTAAAGCAGAATAATTTTAGAAAAAGTTGAAATATAAAATAAAGTAAATATCTGATAAAGGATGATTAGTAAAAAATTCAATTTATTATAAACTGAACGCACCTCAACAGTCAGTATTCCACTTATTTCGTCCTCTTCGTAAGGTTTTCCTTGAAGAGGAATAATTTGCCTTTGACTAGGATTCACCAACAATTCTTCTACTCCTACAATTCCCAAACCTAAAAATCTGTTCGACTTATTTACGTGATCAAATAATTCCAATAGTACTTCAGTCGTATTTGGATTGACGTCGCTAAAAATGTTAAGTAATTTATGTTTTACAAATAATTAAACAATGATAATTAATTTCATTTAATTGTTCATTTAATTAAAACCATTTTTTGTAATTAAGTGTTTAATAAAAATGCCTAAACAATCATTTTCTTTTAAATTTTATATATTTCTCCTAATAGATTCGAAATTTCAAAGTTCTTTTAAAATTTCTTTTCAAGGGAATAAACTTATTCATAATTTCTATGTACATACGAAATTCTTAAAAAGGTTTCAGATATGAAATCATTTTAAATATGTTAACAGTTTAAAATCTATAAATAAGGAATATTGCATTAAATATAACTATATGTGTTTATTTACTCTCCCTGCAATAGGCAGGGTTCGAGACTCCAAAGTACATACACAAGTCAACTTATTCTATAAATGGGTGATTCTCCGCGTAGCGCACAATTTAATGTCCCTCATGTTTTTTAATAAATCAGTTTCATATAATTCTAATAAATTCAACGTGGATAACTTATTTCCATGATAACAAATAAAAGTCTATAGTCGTTTTCATTTAAAAGTTTATGATTTTAGGGGAGACTGGGGTAAACCCGCTCACTAGCGATTTAACGCTATGAACTCAACTTAAGATGGAGATATTGGTACGGTGAATAATACTTAACATTCAACTTATATTAACGAACTTTCGTTTAGTTTTGTCACGTCCCACCTTTGTGGTAGTAACCTTTATTTTTGTAAGAAAAGTTAATTGATTCGAAAACTCTCAAATAAACACAAGTGTACCCTGTAAAATGGTGGGAAATTCAAATGTTACTTTAAATGAAATAACAACTTAAGTTTGTTCAAAGTAGATGCTTTAATGATAAAGTTAGTTCGTCGAGGTTTACAAGGAGTAATTGATTACGTCTCAATTTACTCAAAGAGTGCTCGGAAGTATCTGGTTTGTAGTTGAGGTCCTCTGGTCCCATGAGGTCCTTAGCTCCTTCGAGTAGAGGGGATGAACTATCCCCTCCTACGAGTATCCATGTGACTAGTTCGAGTCCTTGCGAAAACTACAATGGTTTAATTCATTCATACTTATACAAAATAATTTGTATCCGATATCAACAAAATATCAATAATAATAATATCCTAAATAGTACAAATTAACATTTGTAAAATTATGATTAATCAAATTACATTAGTAATTTGATTCAACGTTGACGAAATTACATTAGTTGTGATGCACACATTTGTCAAATTTATAGATATTGAATCAAGTTTACTGGAGGTATCATTTAATAAACAGTTGTACTTGTGGTTACATACTAATTGACAAACATTCAATTAATCTAAAAATGAAATTATATTTAAGTATAAAAACGCAACTTTCTCTTGAAAGTTTTTAGCATTACTCATGGGTTTTTCCCAAAGGAGGTATACATCCCTTTTTTATTGCAGAGGCTCGGTTGGGACCTAAATCCGATGGTCGTTATTTTATGATTACCACATGCTAGGTTTTGCCAGTTTTTTGGAAGTAAAAGTTTTTCTTTAAGAAGACAATTTAGATATTTGTTAATCCTTTTATTATATTATTTTTTGTAGACTGCGTGACATTTTCTGTTTTTCCGAGATTATAACCTAATTGTATTTTTCGAAGTCATAAACTTTTATTTTTGAGTGTAGCAATAATTTCTATCGAAAAGTAGATACATTTATTTCAGACACAAATTCATCTGAGTTATTTTATAAAAGAAAATACTTGTTTAAGTAAAGATGAATTAATTTGAATGTGATATGTATTTTACCGCGCTATAGCATCTAGTGAGTTTCTGGTAATGTAGATTTTACTCTAGCAGACTAGCGGAATACATGTGAATTTAGGCCTGCCGTCACACCTCCCCTTTTACACAAAGAAAAGGTGTTGAAAGAGAAACATCATTTTCTTTACAAAATAACAATAACAGTTTATTTACCTTTAATATTATTTAATCAAGTAGTATCCCTGTTTTATTTACATGTATAATATACACTTGATAATAATGTGTAAAGTGACAATTCAAATTCAGAGGTTATGATTTTACATTATTTTGACAACACGCGATATGTAAAAGGAAAAGAAAATCCAGAACTCGAAGATAATCGTTATTTTTAGATAAGTATATAAATTATCTTTTATTTATATTGCAAGCATATAGTAAGAGAAAATTTTCTTTGTGTTAATATTTATTTTCTAGGTTCGAGTCGAGACTGAAGAGTACATGTAACTTATACATTTATCAGTATGTATGGTTTTTCATTTGTTTATTATTGTTTGATTTATTTTACTCTCGTGATAATTGATTTTAACCTTTACGTTATAATTAATGCATTACATATTGAAATTAATTAAATTTTTATAAAATTATTTTATACGACCAAATTTTTTCCGAATTTAATTAAAACTTATAACGTTATTTAAACATAAAATGTTTAAAATAACTTTTTTTTTTTTTTTTTTTGTATACTATTATGACAGTAATGAAGTATTTTTTGTTAATTTACATTACGTTATTGTGCTAATCTTAATTGGTCTAAATGAACAATTTTGTTTTTACCTGTTTGTTCGTTAAAAATTCTGGCATTCAGGGAACCTAACATTTCGTCAATTTTATAAGGTCCTTCGAAGAAAGAATCGAATTTTTTATCGTTCCGAACATTTATTTTTACATTAACAATATCTCCTTTTTTAAATTGAACACCGCTTGTTCTACGATCGTAATAATTTTTGGACCTTTTTTTAGCTTCTTCGATTCTGTCTCTTGCAAGAGCTTGCGTGTTATCAAGCTTGTGAAACATATCTTTGAGATACTGGACATACGTTGGATCGGGAGATGATGTGGCGAAGCTGGATGGAATTGTAGCTTCTCTACCGAAAACCAATGTATATGGTGCAAAACCGGTTGATTCATGGATTTGTGTATTGTAGGAAAAAATGGCAAACCGAAGCCATTCATCCCAATTTTGTGCATCTCCAAATTGTCGAAGATATTCAACAAGTGTTTGATGGCTACGTTCGAGTGATCCAAGAGATTGCGGATGATATGCAGTGGATTGGATTTTTTCTATTCCGAAAATTTTGCAAAATGTGAGAAGGACTTTACTTGTAAAGTTTCTGCCTTGATCGGTATGTATGACCATGGGACAACCGTATCTGGCGATAAATTGTTCTGCTAAGGCATGAGCAATAGTTACAGAATCGATAGTTTTCAAAGCTATCGCATCTGAATATTTAGAAAAATTGCATTGAATAGTCAGAATATAACGATTTCCGCGGGGGGTCACGGGCAATGGCCCGACGATGTCGATTTGAATTTTTTCAAAGGGTTGTTTTGGCGTATCCGTTATTCGCATGGGTTGTCTCAAACTCGTGCGAATAATTTTATTACGCTGGCAGTTTGTACATTTTTTTATGAATTTTTGTATTTCAACTTTCATACCTGACCAAAAATAAATTGACCGAATACGCCAATACGTTTTCGAGACACCTTTGTGACCTCCTGTTGTTGATTCATGAAATTCTTTTATAATTTTTTCTCTTTCATTAGTTTGAGGGGTAACTATTTCTCCTGAGCAAATCATTATTTTTATATCAGTGTTAGAAAAATGTTGAAGAATTAATTTTTCAACTGATATCCACGAGATTTCATTTAAATTGTTCCCATTACGAGAGATTCGTACTGTATCGACATTCAAAGAATTCATAGCATTTTTAAGTGCTAAAATTGATTTTGAAATTGTGTTTAAGTGAGCTTTGTCAGTCGACTTGTTTTTTACTATCACATGGAAAATATATCGATTGTTTTGAGCAAATACAATTACTTCACCAACATTTAAATTTTCGTTTTTCAAAGTTTCAGATTGCAATATTTTACTTTCAATTAATTCGCGACTCGTTGGCGAATCCAATTTACCATCGCTTGCCAAAAAATGAACCACATGGCTCTTACCCATTGACAACTTGTCCTTACTATACGAAATGCAAGCATTGGTCACAACCATCAACGGTCTTGACTTATGTAAAATCATTGCTAATTCCTTTTCTCGACTTTCACATGAATTGAAACAGGTTCCACTACTTTGATCAGGAGTAGCTTCGCCATTCACTTTGCTAATGTACAAAACTTGAACATTATCATTTTCACGTGCACGGTGATCTTTTTCATTGATACTGACACTGTGAATTTTGCTTTCACCATTGCTGGATTCAGCCATTTTAATCTCGACGATATCGCCAGATTCTAAAACAACTGAGGCAAGTTGATTTCCACGCCGAGGTGTGGAAGCATCTTGCCTCCTAAAGCATGTCTGTCCCCACAATTGATACCACCAATTTTCATTCGAGGTATCAACTGGTTCCTGGACGTTCATCTTTCCAGCAACTTCTACAGGTTTTACACCACGCTCAGCTACCTCATGAAGGTTTACGCTAACACAACCCGGACTCCGAGAGTCCTTCACAGTGTCCCGGGGATCCCCACAATCAACAACAACATTACAAACGGCCACTTCCGGAAGGTTTGCGCCACCCAAAACATGATCACCATTGTGCAACACATTTTCATTCAAAGTGATTTCAGATTTCATGAAAAAGCACGATTCAACTAATTTTTCTTCCATGATTGAAAATTCATTTAAATTATAATTTTCCACAATATTAATCATATTTACATTTTTACTTGCAACATCATACGGATTTCTAGAAAGAGCGTCCGCGTTTGCATTAATTTTACCAGGTTTGTATTGTATGTCGTAATCGTATTCGCTCAATTTTATTCTCCATCTTGCCAAACGTGAAATGGGATCTTTGAGGTTATGCAACCATACGAGAGGACGATGGTCCGTAACAAGTGTAAACTTTCTACCATATAAATACGGTCGAAATGCTTTAACACAGAAAACTATTGCCAATAACTCTTTCTCTATAGTAGAGTAATTAATTTCCGCTTTTTGCAGAGTTCTGGACGCATATGCAATGGGCAGATCTTGACCTAT